CTATGGAAATTATTCTTTTAGGTGTCAATCTGATAAATAGTTAAATATTTATTAACTTATGACTAGTATTTATGAAGAAAAGCAAACATTTCTTTCGTTTTATTGTTTTTTTTGTGTAGTTAGATTCTATCGTATGTATTTAAAATTGCTTCCATAATTTAATTTACTTTTATTTTTTGATGCTGAAAGTTGACTCTTTTCATTCTTTATTGGATCATATGAATAAAGAACTTGTGCGTTTTTTTCTCCTCTCTCAAATTTCTACTTTTTTGCGTACGATTGTCAAAAAAATCGATTGAAATTTTCAATTTCATTATAGATTTTTCTGCTGTTATATCAAGGAGCCCGTCAATCAATGTGAGAATGTCATTCAATTGTTGTCTGTTCTATTTTTTTTTTGTTTTTAATCACTGTCGATAAACATTTTTTCGCTTGTATTATTCCATAAAAAAAAACTACTTCATTTTTTTTTGAAGATTTGTTTGACTACCACAGCAACCATTGTTGTTATTGGACAAAAGAAAAAATAGAAAAGAGACTTTTTTCCTGTTCGAATAGGTTTTTTTTATGCAGTGTGAAACCAATCATACATAAGGAACTCGTAGAGGTAAATCAATTGAATAATAATGAATTGTATTATGACACGGCTAGAATTTCTTTTTTCAATATTGAATGTGCAAGAAACAAAGACTTTCTCTTGAAGCACACAAAAAAGCTTCAAAGGGAAAAGCCTTTTGCATTTTTTATCAGTTAGAAATTATAATTACATAGGAAAGATGTTTGGATGTTGTAAGATTTATTTCTCATAGATTATTATTTGTAGATGACTAGTAGTTTAGATGAACGAAATGATCCATTTGCTGATCTTGAATATCGTATAACAAATCCAAAATTAACTCAAGATGTAGTTAATCGGAATACGGGCATAAATTTACTGAGTAGACAACCAACATCAAAAGCTGTACAACTGAAAGCAGAAAATTATGATTTATGGTTTCAAAATGAACGTTTAGTCGAAGAAAACAGTGCATTAGGTACTGAATTGGGTAAATTACAAGATAAACATGATAAATTAATGTATTTGGCACGTAATCGTCTTGGTGAAATACGTTCAAAATATCAAAAACTTGAACAAGATAACCAAACATTAAAAACCGAATTAGATCGATTAGTACGTGAATATGAAACAACAAAAAGACTAATTGCAGATTATCGACGTATGGAAGAACGGTAAATAGCATTAAAATTTCTTCTATTTTTTCAGGTTATAATGAACTCTTTTTGTTCATAAATTAGTTTTAAAGCAGCTGATCGTGAAATGCGTTTAATGATTGATACATTAACACGTAATAATGAAGATCTAAAAGGACAAAATCAAACAATAATAAATGAACTTGAATTATTAAAAGAAAAATATTATATTGCTAAACAAAATTTAGAAAAATCTATGCACGATACAGCATTACTTAAAGAAGAATTAACTAAAGCTGTTTATGCTCGTGATTCACTTGAAAAAGACAGTGCTCGATTAAGTACAAAAGTAAATGAATTAACTGCTGGTAAAAAATCAACTGAAGAAAAATTAGAATTATTAACTGGCCGAACAAATAATTTACAAGTTGATTTAAGACGGTAAAAAAATAGGAGAAAAAAAATGCCTACATAATCTTAAATAAATAAATATCTATTGTTTTTAGTTCGGAAGCCAATGCTGCAATGTTACAAGAACGTTTTACTTTAATAAGAAATGAACGTGATGCATTAGATGCTGACAGTAAAAACAAATTAACAATATTAATGCAAAAACTTAAAGAATTGCAACTACAAAATAAATCTTCTATGGAACAATTACATACACAAAGTAAACAATGTGATCATTTAAATAGTGAAAACAAACAATTACTTGAATATGTTGTATGTAAAAAAAGAAAAAAAAAAGTTTCGAATAAAAATCCATTTATTGTTTGTAATTTAGAATGGTTATCGTAAAGAAAATGATCTTCTTGCTAAACAACTTGTTTCTGTCAATACAAAACAAAAACGTTTAGCACTGGAACTTGAAAGTTTAAAATCAGCTGATGCTTTTATGAAAAATGAAGAAGCTATGAAAATGCAAGATGCTTTAGTAGGTTTAACTGATCAATTAACACAATTGCGTAAAATGCATGCTAATACACTTGCTGAAAATCAACGCATTAAAGAATTATTAATTGAAAAAGATTCAGTTTTAACTAGTTTGGGTTATGAACGTCATCAATTACAAGATAAAATGATTAAAAATGAACACACAATTCGACAAATGGAACGAATGATAGATGGTAGTGCTGCAACTAAACGCTCACCATTAGACACACGAAAAGCAACAACAATAAATAATACATATTCATTCGAGAACGTGCTTGAATCTTGAAGATATTTGTACTTGTGTGTGTGTGTGTGAATGTAATTCTAGACTTTTCTTTTAATTTCTTTTTTGTATACAAAAGAAAACTGCAGTTTCATTAGAATGATGGTGTCGCCATTTCATTGGATGTCGGTTTTTTTTTTTGCTGACAAAATACTAACGTGGATAAAAAGTAATGATGATTATGCAAGCAAATAGTGACAAGGCGCTTCACTGTGAAAGATATGATACAGATACATGTGCAAAATGAGATAAGCGAGAGTATATATAGCTTGCCAGAAGTTCTAATTGAATTACAGTTTCTCTTTTGTTTCATACAATCAAGGTAAGTAAAATGAAAGAAATTTAAGCGTTTGGCTATGAAGACAATATGTTTGTTTCGACGATAGATGCAAACTATTTCGCTTCTCGCCGTTCTTGCACTCGCTTTCAGCTGTACATTAGCTTACGATGTTACACTTAATCAACATTGGAAATTATGGAAAGAGCTTCACAACAAACGCTACACCGATGCCGAAGAACATGTTCGGTATGAAGAAAAAATTATTCGATATGTCTAAATCTAACTTATTATTAATATATGAATTTTTAGTCGTGCTACATGGGAAAGCAACTTAAAGAAAGTTCGAGAACACAACCTCCAAGCTGATCTTGGTGTACATACATATTGGCTCGGAATGAACAAATTTGCTGATATGGTAAATTTCATTTTTTCTTTTTGCAAACCGTACGATAAATATTTATACGAATTGTTTTTCATATTAAAAATAGACTGTCAATGAATTCGCCAAAAAAATGAATGGATACAATGTTACAATGCAAGGACAACGCACACAAGATCGTCATACATTCATGTTCAACCCAAGCTTTCAATTACCAGACACCGTTGGTATGTACTATGATTATTCGTCAGTATTTATTGCTATATAAACAATCTTATTTGTCTTTGTCTAGACTGGCGTGATAAAGGTTATGTAACTGAAGTTAAAGATCAAGGCCAATGCGGTTCATGCTGGGCTTTCTCAGCAACTGGTTCCCTTGAAGGTCAACACTTCAAATCAACTGGCAAACTTGTTTCACTTTCTGAACAAAACTTAGTTGATTGCTCAACTGCACAAGGTAATATGGGTTGCAATGGTGGTTTAATGGATCAAGCTTTCGAATACATCAAAGACAACAGTGGTATTGATACCGAAGATTCATATCCATATGAAGCCATTGATGATCAATGCCGATTCTCAACAGAAAATGTTGGTGCAACAGACACTGGCTTCACTGATATTAAATCAAAAGATGAAAATGCTCTTCAACAAGCTGTTGCCACTGTTGGACCAATCTCGGTTGCCATCGATGCTAGTCATACATCATTTCAATTATACAAACACGGTGGTATGTATTTTTCTTAAGTTTATAATTTCTTATTTTGATCCAAATCGATTTATTTAGTTTACAATGAACCATTCTGCTCACAAGTTCGTCTTGACCATGGTGTCCTCGCTGTAGGTTATGGTACAAATTCTGGCAAAGATTACTGGCTCGTTAAAAACAGGTAATTATTATACTAATATTTTTTTTATTGATTATCTAATCGATTATTTATTATTATTATTATAGCTGGGGTGAAGGTTGGGGTGATAAAGGTTATATCATGATGACACGTAACAAACGTAACCAATGTGGTATTGCCACAGCTGCAAGTTACCCACTTGTTTAAAGGCACAATTCAATTTTTTTTTATTCTTTTTTTTTTTTTTCTTCATGCTATCTTTTATTGTATTCTAATAATAATTATAATAACATCATAATAATAAAAAAAAAGGAAAACACTACATATATATATAAATATATCTAATTATTCATTCATAGGCGAATGTCAAAACAAGACACAACATATATATATACATTTTTTCTTCAATAAACAAGTCCCATTGAGATGTATCTAATTGAAATCTGAATGAAATTTACCATTGACAGTGATCATAAACAAATACAATGGATTTATTTATGTATTATTTGAATGAAACAATTGTCAATAGACGATAAGAAAAGAAAACTCTTCGTTCATTAACAATACTATATTCTCTCAATAGATTTCCTATTTATTATTTTTGAATCAAAAAAAAAAAAATATCTAAGCGGCATATTCTACTTTATTGCTCTTCATCGCTTAGACACTACTCGTAAATGCCAAGCAGAAGAAAAAAAAAGGAAACCGGAACTTCGGTCTTCCATGATCATCGAGTAGTAATAACAATTGCATTATTCATGTATCGATATATATTTATGAATGTGTCTGTAAAACTCTACCCAGTAGAAAAGAAAGAACGAGTCATAGAAGATTTATTATGAAAATCGGCATTGTCTTCAAACAGTGAGCTAGATATCGTTTTTTTTTTAATTTTCTTTTTTATAATTTGTTCAATGATACCGAAATCGAATTACTGAGCTATCTATCGATATAGACTTTAGAAGAGCGAGAGAAAATTGATTTTTCCTGCATGCGAAATAGAAACGACAATAAATGCGATTACTAATCTAGTACGTGCATACGACTTACAATCATTTTCTTTTTTTGAACTAGTACATCTCTGATATAATGAGTGTCAACTGGACCTTTGATCATAATGATTATTCACCATTTGGATCAGATGAACATATTTTAATAACAGAATATCGTTCACTTGTAATTACAATATTTTTCTTTTTAATTGGTTTATTTGGAAATCTTATTATATTAATTGGTAATGGATATATTCTTCGACATTCAATGGATGGTGAAAAACGTACATTTGAAAATTTTCTTCTTGAAATATCATGTTTCGATTTAATTGTACTTTTTTATCATTTAATTAATTCAATTATACGTTATAAAGCATTACCAGAAAGTGATGCTCAAACAATGACCGGTTTAATTAATATATCAACTGTTTGTTGTAAATTATTAACATATATTGTACGAGTTTCAACACTTATGTCTCATTGGTTAATTATTTTATTATTACTTAATCGATTATTTCTTGTTTATCCAACATTTTATAGACTTATAGCAATTGTTAATGCAAAATATGCTGTGTAAGTATTGATATTTCAAGAAGAAATATTTAAATCAATTGAAATATACTAAGAAATTCATTAGTAGATTTTGGAATTTTATTTTATTTTTTTGTTCTTTTAATTTAATACACATGAGTAAATTTTTATAATTCATTCTAATTCAGAGTTCTATTGAGGTTAATGATTCGAATAGACTATTTAGCTTGTTATTTTGAATGCAAGACATTGAGCATGTTTTTCCTGAATCATCGGATATTAGTTATTAGATAAAATTATTCATCTATGCGGAAACAAAGCATGTCCCTTTTTGAATAAGCAAAAATATATTAGTATCGAACAGTAAACAATCTTTTTGACTCGATATTGAATATGACAAATCGAAATAACTGTAACATTTTTCATAATTAACCTTGTTTTCATATTGATATATACAGAATGATATGAAAGTAATGAATAATCTTGTATATAATTTGTCATAACTAAATTACATCTATGATTGATTGACACAAACATCTGCTTATTTCAATAGTATTAGTTAGTTCAAGTCTATTATTATCTGTAATATACGTATCATCTTTGGAAAAGTTATTTTTCGATGATTTCTTATTTCTTAGTTTTTCTCGAGCAGTTTTTTTTTTTTTTATTGAAGCAAGAGATCTAAATAGATCATACTACTATATAAAAAGGTTTAGATTGATTTCTATTGTAAATATTTCTCGTGTCAAAAATATAATTTACAAACTGTTTCTACGAAAGAAAAGTACAGTAAAACTTTGCCAAATAACTATTATTCCTTTATATATATAATATGCCCCGTTGCTTTTTGAATAAATCTAGAATGCAAATAAATAAACAGTATCCGATATATGCGTCTTCTAATATGGCTGAAATTTGTAGTAAAATGTCCCTATTCTTGACATTTAACCTCGGAAGACATTTGAATTAACCATCAGATTTACATTAGATGGTGCTTCTGCATTAATTGAACTCAATAAATTAAAATGTTCTAGATATCTTGCGTCAAAGAGTAAGGCTCACTGTTATAAAAAAAAAAAAAAAAAAAAAACTTAAAAGTTTATTGTTAAGTGACAAGCCTATATATATTATTTAACAGATTAATTCTTGCATAGAATCACATCCGTGAATTTGTGTTTTTTCAATGGTGAAAAGCACGCATTGTCATAAGTAGAATTCATCAGGTTGCAATATTTTTCTTCTAAAACTTACTAAAACAAATTACGAGGACTTTTCATTTTGATTATAATAATTATTTCATTAAAATAATTTAAGATGAATATTTTTTTTGTTATTTAGTCTTGGTTTACTGTTTCTTTTTACTTTTTTCAATGTTATACCAATTGAATCAATGTCTTATAATTTACCACTTGTTCTTCCATCAAATTCAACAGCCAATATAACACTTTATCGTCATTGTTTAATGAATGCCGAAATGGTTGATTTAGAAGCATCAATATATTCAACTGCTGTTATTTTGAATGTTTTTTTCTATACTGGTGTTGGTCTTATTTTACCAACAATAATTATATGTATTCTATCAATATTATTATTTCAAAAAGGAGCACATCTTTGGAATGAATTACATTCACATCATTCCGACACTGAAAATATTTCTTTACGATCTAATTCACCAATTGTTGAATATCTTCGTACATATAATGCAGCATTTACACTTGGTATTATATTTGTATTTCTTTCAATACCATGTAAATTACTTCGTTTAATTGTTTTATTTGCATCAAATGATATTGATGAATCAAAATCATCGAATCATATTCTTTTACAAGCTCATGCACAAATGCAGACTGTTGGTCATGCATTTGAACTTTCACTTTATTCATATAAATGTTTCATATTTATTTGTACCAATCATCGTTTTCGTTGTGCATTAAAATATTTATTAACTTATCATCGTAGTCATGTCATTATTAATGAATATCGACCTTCAATGGATAGTTGTTCTGGACAAAAACCAATACAAGCAAGATCTTCACAAGAAAGTGTACCATTTGAAGCATTATATAAACATTTACAAATAAATGAATTTGAATCACCAATGAATATGTATACAACTGGTTTGACATCAGAATTATATAATCATCGATCAAGTTTTAAAACACGATCAAGTGTATCTAGTCGACGAACAAAAGAAGATGAAATATCACTTTGAAAGTCGTTTTTTTTTTTCTTCTGTATTTGTATAGAAATCGTAAACCTATATCTATATGAGTCAAGTTCAATTCTATTGTACCATTTTAAGAAAATAAAAGTGCGAAAAAAAAATTCTGATTCAAAAAATAATGTGAAGTATGTTGTACTATATTACATAGAGCAACTTGAGACTCGTGTGATCAGTTTGCGGTGAAAGAGATGACCTTCGAATTATCACAGAAAAAAGTGATTAAGCCGATTGATCGCGTGATCAACGCTATTCGTTTATATATAATTTGTTCTCAATAAGCTTCCAATGAACCAATATCTATACCTACCGAAAAGATTAAATCATATTTGTAGGTCTGAAAATTCAAAATAAACCAAGTGACCGAAATGGAATTCAACGAATTTTTTTATGCTTTAAAAGAATAGTTTAAATGTAGGATAGAATGACACTCCTTTTTTTTTTACAATTGATATCGTTAGTAGTTAACACATGTGTCGTTATTCAACAGAGACAAATATTTTCGAAAACAAAATAGACAACTACAACGTTTGCATTTGCAAAGCTTCACATAATTAGTCAAGAGTTTTCAAAAACGCAAGGTCAGTCTCTTCACAACTAGTGTCATACCTGGGAAGGTTTCATGCATCACAATTATCGTGCTTGAGCATATCACAAAAATATCCTATTTTGAAAATTTTTCCCAAAAAGAAATTTATGGAAGCTGAGATTTCGAAAATATTGCGTTTGATCGAAAAGGGAGAGAGAGAGAGAGAGAGAGAGAAAGAGGTAAAAAATTTAAAAACTTTTTTACATAATTTCAAAACAATTTCTATAAAAAGAAAAAGAAGAAAAAAGTTTCCAAAATATCACTTTCAAGCTAGTTGAGATATATAAGCATCTCTCAAAACACAAGAAAACGCTTGCATACGACTTGATCGCATATAAATCGAAAAACTCTTGAAATACGAAAGTTTTGCGAAATGTATTAAATATACTTCAGATTATATGTAGAAAAAACTTCGTTTGAATGGCATGACATATCGTAGAGAATCAAAGTTTGATAAATCTCCACTATATGAACCTAATAGTGTATTGAAATGATGTAATTGCACCAAATGACTTCTTGAAGTCGCAATTCAACATTAATTGGTACTTATTTTGATAGCACCTAAAATAAGAAGTAAATTAATTTATAAAATATTTACTCTGCCCTCAGTTGTGAAATACTATGCATGTTGTAATCTTGCGTGACGTCTTAACACTAAGTTTTCCTTTTTCTCATGATCAATAAGTTTTTTTATGATGATATTTTCTTTGGTAGTTGATTAAAATGATGGAATAAATTCATCAACGTTTCATTTCAAACATGTTATGCCTTTAAAATGTTCTATAAGTCAGATACAATGAAAAATCTCGTATGATATTTAGCGTAAAAATAAAATATTCAATTGTTTTTCATGGTTTTTATGAACAAGAAATAATACAATTTTCTGATCTTGTTTTTTAAAGATTTTTTTTTTGTTCATTTACTGACTTTTATTCAACATTATCTCGAATATTTTTAGATGAATTGCTCAATCCCAGAGTTATTCTTAATCTCGCGTGACAGATAATCGAACAATGACTAAATATCTGATATTTAGAAAAAAATTATAAGATAATTCGAATGTCAACGTCAATCAGGCTTATATTCTAAAATTGTACACTGTTTGCTATAATTTTGCCAACATTCGAAATTTAAACAAGAAGAAAAAATATCACTTATATGGCATATTCTAACAGTAAATGGCAGTGAAAACCAATATTTTAGACCTTGCATGTCCATTATCTTAGAATTCAGTCGAGATAAATTCATGATTTTTCTGTGTGATAGTGAGAACTTATTAAACGAGTCTAATCTAGAAAAAAAATCACAAAGATTGACTGAGAACAACTCAAGACATTGAGTTTTTACATATTAGAATACAAGAACACAAGAAATTTGCAACTCATTTATGCATACATATATATAGAATGTCCAAAAGTCACTGTACATAATGAAATTTGGAATACCTTTCGTATAGTTCTATCGGATGAACTTATTCTTGTACGAATGATAGAAAACACTTGCAAGTTTCTTTTTACATATGCAAAGTCCTTAAGAGAGGGCCTGCGAGAATACCTACCAAATCGGTCACCGCTAAAATTTTGATTTTCGATTTAATTATCTCAAACGGTAGGCCATCATTAGAATACATTAAATCCAAAATATTAACTCTTTCTGACTTTTCTGTGAAAAATATCAACGCATACAAGTGACATACTTCTCAGATCTTAGCAAAAAAAAGAAATCACGATTTTTCAGTGCTCTTAGTATTTTGCAGTTTTCTCGGCCTCAAAATATAATAAGTTCGAGATCGGAGACGTTTCAAAAGATGCAACAATGTTTTCTCTACAAAATTAGACAATTCAATATATATTATAATAACATTCACCAAGTGATAAACCCAATATACGAGTAAAAATGACCATTAGCTAAAATGAACATCTTCCAGAATATTGACCATAGTCACATTGGATCATGTTCCAAAATAATTTTTATATTTTCTGAAAGTCCTTGAAATTCTACATCGTTTAAGGCATAACCGAAAAGGTTAAAATTCTGATAGCAAAAGTTAGTTCAGACCACAAATGTTGATGGGTGATGCATATCTCGATCCATTCTGACCCATAATGAGGATACGACATATTTTATGCTCACCTGAATAAAAGAAAATATGACTTCAGATTCGTAAGCAACATGAAAAACTGACGAGGGAAGTTCTCAACTGATTAATCGCTTTTTTGTTGAGACTAAATGCATTACGTAGGTACAAATGATCTATGAATACCCTGAAAAAGTCCGGGTTGCTAGCTTATTGCTGCGGAGATACAGCACTTTTACAATATGTTTTTAAATGAATACCATGGTCTCCCTCAGGAACACCAGAAAACATGATTTTCAAATATTCGACTTGAAACTTTACATATAAACAGACCTTACCGAGATTCGAAAATCATTTTTTCTGGTGTTTCTGGGGAAGACCACGGTATTCGTTTAAAAACATACCGTAAAAGTGCAGTATCTTCGCAGCAATAAGCTAGCAATCCGGACTTTTTTTCAGGGTATTCATAGTTCATTTGTACCTACATAATGCATATAGTCTCAACACAAAAGTGATTGATCAGTTGGGAACCTTCCTTCGTAAGTAAACAACGGTAGCAAAAGTCTTCTTCGTTGTCAGACTAAACCAATAAGACGCGCTTCAATAATAGCTTCGTACTTACAAAAGTAACATTTTCAGTCAAAACTTAAAGACATAACATGAATCAACTTATAAACGATATCGTATGACATAAAGTACATGTTTTCTGCTTTGTCCAGGATTAAATCAGACAAGCTGCCATAAAATGCCAAAACTACCAAAACGGTTCCTGTTGAACTACCCGATAGAAACATATGATTCGACTAAAAAAAGATCAACTTCAATTAATAATCTACGTTTTCTTCATCGAAATGAGAAGATAGAAATGAGAATGTTAAAGACTACCTAATTATGTCCTTTGAAAAAAACTGCAAGAGAAACAGTCATTTTTTGATATTCAAACAGATTGCCCTGACTCTCGAAAACATTCAGTCCAATTGAGAAATACTTGAGAATATTTCATAACATCAAACAATTGACATGTACAAGTTGCCTCTATCTGCCACGTATAGAGTACCGTTTGTATCTTCATAGATACTGCCAGAATTCTAAAGTTGTTTTGTCATTGGTTCAAAACTTCTGCTCGTGCTTGCTACAACAGCTGCTGTTGACAAAAAATATGAGATTTTCTGCATACGATGATTTGATGCATCTGAGTAGTATATTGCACCTTGCCAGTCAACGACAAGCCCACTAGCACCACAGACCTGATATGCTCCTTGACCCAATGTTGTTTCACCAAAACGAATCGTACCTGTTCTTTCATTGCCATCACCATACTTGGCCACCCGAGAATAACAAAATTGTCGAGGAGCCATTGTAGCAATAATTATGAGAAAATAACATTCTATGTTTTATTTTGTTAATAATTTTTATTTGAATCATTACTATCGATGCAACAGTTTTAAGTTTACTACTTGTTTTACTTAGTTAGCGCATCTGTATATGACCATCGTAAACAATATTAACAACAGATTTGAACACAAAAGTCAACATGTAAATACCGATGGCATATTCGAGTCATAAGAGAATGATAAAATGCAAAAATAATAAACAATATCTGTCTTTATTTTAAAACACTAAAGTCTTACACATAGAAAAAGGAGACACACTCACAGTTTATCACTTGTATTGAAGTATTTAGGTCATACCAAAAATAATGACCGAGATACTTTAGTTCTTTATAAAAAAAAGTTTAAGAAACTTTCTTTCTATATTGTCTGATAGAGAAAAGAATGCTCTATTTTTCTATGCTATTTGATCATATTTCTAATAACTAATATCATAATACTAAACTTTCGATAAGACTTGTTGTACTATGGTATGTATTTGATAGTACTAGTGCTTATTGAGTGAATATTTTACTGGATAACTTTTGATACAAATAGGATTGTGAACTGCAGTTTTCATCGTTCGAAAGAGGAGATGAATATGTATCAAGTCATACATTATAGACTTTTTTCACGTGACTTTTTCAAAGGTTTTCAATTAACCTTTTTTGAAAACAAACCTAGTCGTGAGACTTTATAATGACTTCTCATTTGTCAGCTGTGCATTGAAACCGCTGATGAAAAATCTACAAAAACTGTACAAGGTTCAGAAATTTAGAATTAATCATTCAGAAGTAGTAAGTACCGTAGTCGAAGTTTTAAGTGATTTTTCTGGCAATTCCTGTAAAAGAATTTTTTACTGTTTCCTTGTTGATAAGAAACCATTTTCCCCACACTTAGAAAACTGATTAAACAAACTGCAGAACATATACTAAGAAAACGTATAATACATGGTTCGATGCATCTTGATCTCAGCTTTCGAACGATGAAAACCGTAGTTCTCTATCTTGGCTGTATCAAAATTTATCCAACAAAGTATCCACTGAATAGGTACTAGTACTGACAGGCACATATCGTAGTACAACAAATCTTATTGAAAAGTTTAGTATTATAATATTAGTTGACGTATGATTAAATAGCATAGAAAAATAGAGCATTCTTTCTCTATCGAACTGTATATGAATAAAGTTTGTTAAACCTTTTTATAAAGAATTAAAGTACCATCGTCACTATTTTTGGTATGACCTAAGTATTTCGATCAATAAAATGTTAATAATTATTATTTGCTTTCTAATTTAATCATCAATTTCGTTTTTTCTCACAGCGACAGACTTCTATATAATTACAGTTTTATTTTTTTTCATCAGAGTGGAGATATAAGGAGAGTGTATGTACATCCTTAGTCATTCATGAAATTAAAAAAAATTATGACAATTTTTTCTTTTCTTATCAGATAGAAGATTTGAATTTTGATAAGACGAACATCTTGATCGTTCGAAATATTTATTTACTGTAAAAGTGTACTTGAAAACATAGTCTTTCGTGCACCTACAATTAAAATGTAGGCAAGTTTTGGTTATCATGCGAGTGCATCGAGTTCTCGCTTTAGTGACATGCGATTATAGAAAAAAAATAAACTTGTTACTTGATGTCGCATGCTACACTTAAACACACTTGAAGAATGATTTTTGCATGTAGATTTTTTTCTGATGCTTACATAAATGTTTTGACATATTGTTCCGTTTTGATAAACAACCATTGAAAATATTTTGAATAACTTGAGAGCTTACATGACTAAAATTGATTGTTTCAGAATTTCTCTTCAAAAACATGTATTTTGAAAACTTTTACAGCTGACTGCTGCATAAAAATTCTAGATTTCTATTTCTATTACAAAAAAAAAAAAAAAATACGAGAAATTTTCCAAAATCTAATGCTAATACTATAAAGTATTTTCGTCATTTCCCTCGTTTTCAGATTGTATACATAATTTTGTTAGAATTCATCTTTGATCATCATCATGAAATTTTTATTATGTTCTGTAAATGACTGAAGCTTTTGTCTATTAGCTTAGAAGAACAAACAGTTCGAATTGTATATGTTCTCTTTAACAAACAACAATTTTAGTGGGTTTCTATTCGATTATCATACTGATCTTCTAATTATCCTTTGAATTATCACTCTTGCGTTTAAAATTGATCAATATAAAATTTTCATTTCTTCAACGATCAACTAATTATATTCAATTGATGACTATAATCATTAGATCAAATATTCGAAAGATTTTAAAGAGTGCATTTGTTTCTGTTCATTAGACTTGACACGAACGTAGTCAGCAAATATTTTTATATTCATTTTCATTCATCACATATAAAAAAGAAAACAAAATTCTTTCTACTTTCCATCATATTTTTTTAATAAATAGTCTCTCGATTATGGGTGTTGATGTTGCCATTATTTTCTTTTCTCAATAGTTATGTGTACTTTTGAAGAGTATGATAAAAAGTCTGCCGTTGTTTTGTGTATTTTGCATACCATATTGGAACATTTTCTTCAAAATGTACTAAGAAAACATGCATACTTCTTTAATTGACGAACAATTAAATCATCTTAATAACAAAACCACCTACACCAAGATACATAGACATTAACACAAAAAGAAATCTTTTTTTTTCTCGAAAAGAAGAAAAAAAAAGGTAAATGCATGAAGATTTCTAAATAGGGCGTGTTAGTAGTAATAGGCATACAAAACGGAAGGAGAAAAAGTATGAAAATGTTGTTACTATTAGAAGCATACACTTTTTCGGTCTTCCTTTGGTATTATAAAAACGAAGACAAAAGCTCATGGTAAAAGAGAGAAAAAAAGAGATGTGCACGACATTGCATACGTTCGAAGTTTTGCAAACATTACAAACGAAACTTTGTTCTTTCTCTATCTTCCTCTCTCGGTCTCTCTCTCTCTCTCTCTCATGCTTCATAATTCTATCTATAAAGCGTCGAAAATGTCATTGGTGAATAGTATTCAAAAAATAAACAAGAAACAGATGGCTCACCCTCAAGTTTAAATACTAATTAGATAAAACAATATATCGTGCAATAATTACAACTGGCTAATAATACTGTTAGAACGATGCCCTATGCCAACAATGCTACAAGTAATGCATATCAAAACAAGGTCATCTATGATAAAATAGAACTTAATAGCAAAAAAGAAACGAAAGGTTATTTCCTGTATGAATGAAGATAGAAAATTCTTCATAAATTCTCTGATTGAGAGAAGACTCAAAAACTATTAACACATCGAAATTTCTAAATTGAGATTCCACCGAAGAATTGTATTACAATAAAAATAGTTATAAATGAAATATTTATTTTTTTTTTATTAGATTAAAAATGTCTGCATATATCTCTTTTTTTTAGTAACAACAGAATTATCATCATGTAGTCAAATAGTGAATGTAACTCAAACAGTACAAGATGTACGTAAAGATCTTAGAGTTCTGTCTTAGTGTTTAATATTAATTAGTTTATTTTTATTTCAGCTTTATAATTTATATCAAAATAAAAGTTCAAGTTTAGTTTCAAGTGTATTTTATAATATTTCAATTACTAATTTCAAGTAAATCCTATCATTGATATTATTTTATTTCGTATATCCTTTTGAATATTAGTTGTACGACGCAGTTAGATAAATATTTTGAACAAGTTATAATATTTACACAATCAATATCGATTCGTATTCAAGTAGCATTAGGTATAAAATAGAAGAAGAAAAATTTTTCAATTGAAAAGTATATTTCTATTGAATTTTTTAAGTTTCAATTTATTTTGATTATATTACTGGAAATGGATTTTCTATCAATGGGTTTTTCATTGAACGAGAAAGGCCAATTTATCTTTCATCAATCAGTTTAAATTATAGTAAGTAATATATGACAAAGAAGGTTTTATTTTGATTAAAAATAGTTCATGACATAAAAATCAATGAAACAATTTATATTACTTCCAGAAATATCTTGAATTACGTTTTAGAGATCCAAACAGGCTTACGAAAAGTATCTCTAGTCTAGCTATCAAAGACTACGAACTTCTATAATCTACTTGTGTCTGTCATTCATTGTCATCTATATTTTTTGTCTTTACGTATTAATCTTATGATCATAATTTAATACAAGTAGAAGATTGTCTTTATAAGAAGGTAAAAAAAGCAATGTATGTCGAAATGATATGATTATACGAAACATTAGTTGACTTTTTTTTATACAATATATAGCTATCGAGAATAGATAAAAAAGAATTGTTTTTGAACAAGAACATTTTGAATGAATGTAATGGATTAATGGAAAAGAATATATCATAACAATATAAATATGAATCGGGAGACAGTAGGAATTAGTAAACGATTTACGTAAGATAAAAACAATTATTTATTAGAAAGTACATATAGTGTTTTAGTGCAATAGTCGAATAAACTAAAATAATAAACGGAGAATGAACAATATAATCACAATCAATTATTAGTTATGATTGTGTCTAGTCATAATAATAATAATAATAAATATCATCTCTCATCTTCTAACAGTGAACATATTTGATATTTACTGTTCTTAGTAGAAAAAGAAGAACCTTTTTTTTTATTTAAAGTTTTAAAAAAACATGTTAGGTACGTTCGATGGTCTGTTAGAATCTCGGTCACATATATGATGAGTGGTTGTTTCTAAATGAGTTTATGCACATATATTGGTTTCCAATTGTTTAAGGATCATTTGATGTGATACCAAAAATTGACATGACCAAACCTCAGCATTTCAATGAAGTCAATTCAAAGATATCAGTTTAGGAAGGTATCTCTTCAAATCTTCTCTTTCGATTTCAATGATTTTTCTATGTCTATAGATACTACATAGTAATCTTGTGAAAAACAAAAAAAGAAGGATTAGAGCTTCTATTGAGACTTGGCAAAACTACTGAATTTTGTCTTGAAACCATCATTATTTGAGCGTTTCGCATATATTAGCTTGTAAGATAAGTTTCAGAAAGTGAAGACTGTGTGTCTCAAAGTTATGAACTTTTCAAAAATGAAGAATTTTCGAAGAGTAGTGAATAATCAGAAATACTTTGAAAAGTTCCTACCTCGGAAATATGAAGCCTGCAAACTCTAAAACTTTCATAAAAGCCTACTGTATGTGAGACCTTTCAGTGGAACTCGTGTCAAAAGAAAACTCAATATGAACTCAAATCATTTTAGAATTTTTACAAGCATACTATCCAGGATGTGTATAGTCAAAAAAACGTTGTAATCAGAAGGAAGCATCTGGGAAGATTTCCTCGTTGATGAGCTTACGAATATATTTGATTAAAATATAGGGCCGTTACCAGAAGAGTGTGGAGCAGAATGAGTTAAGACATCGTACAGTATCCAGAAAAATAATTCAGCAAAGAAAGTTTCTTCGCAGTTTTTCAAAAAATCATCGTTTTTTTTTATAGAGCAATTTACGGAAAAATGCGCATGCAGAGACATGTAAATATTTCCTGGCTCTTGACGTTTTCTTAAGAGTGACATTGAGAGTATTTATCTATTATTAATGGGAAATATTGAAGTGATACGTTCTAATTTTTGTTCAATAAACTTTTTTTTAATTTGAAGGTTCCAGATCTGATTCTTGTTTGAGTGGTGAGGTAGCTAAGGATCCACTTTGTCTACAGAATAGTTCAACACCTGTATGTATTAGTTTGTTTACAAATCCATGGATTTTCAATTGCAGGTTTGAACAAAAAAAAGTTTATTTCACTAATTTTTTCTTCATGTTTTTTTTTTCTCAAGCGAAATTCCTATGACATCTACAATTTTTTCATTATCTACTACGAATAATCATAGATTATTCTCAACACCAAATTCATCAGTTTTAAATTCATGGCAAATTGGTCTCATATGTAGTTTAAGTATGTATTTCATAAAAGAATAAAATCTAAATTGATCTATTTTTTTGTTTCTAATAAAGGTGGTTTCATTTTATTAATTTGTTTTCTTCTTGTTGGATATATTTGTCGACGCCGTTCACGTTCGAAACATTTTACTTTAACACCAGTCAATTTTTTTGATGATATGAAATCACTGCAAAAAAAGTACAAAAAACAAATTTCAATCATCATTAACAATAGTTGTTGTTTTTTTATATAGTGGAATACCTCTTGGTGAAGCTTTTCAAAGAGCCGCTACAATTGTACAACCTAAACAAAGAAATAACATGACGATTGCTTGGATTCATGATGATAGTGATAAAAATACTACTATTAATAAAAAAAATTATATTAATGTAAAGTCAACTAGACCTTATTAGTAAGATATATTAATTGCTTGAAATATTCATAAATTCTTAAATTTTGTAGTCAAGGAACATTTATTGATCATGCTAAAATTCATGATTCAGTTTTTCCTTCAAATATTTCTAAAAATTTACTCAAACCTATTTATGTTTCAAATAACCATATTCATCCCTTAGCATCAAAAATACATTCAATAGCAGTTATTGCTCGACCTGTATCTGGAACATCAAAGAGTCAATTAAAGTCAATAATTGGTAAATATGAAAATTTTCAATATATTAATAATATTTTATTTTTTTTTAAATATTTTCAAAGGTCAATTAGAAGAGGACAAACTTGATCCATCGGATAGTATTTCATTACGTCAGTTGAATTCAATCAATGCAAAAAGGCTGAGTACATCAATGTCAGGACAATATGCAAATACATTATCGCTTGATGAAAGTTTGCATGACGAAGATGCCTGGATGTCTATTTTAGACGTAGCTAATGCTGAAGTAAATATAAGACATTCATAAACATAAATATAAACCTTTATTTTCTTTTAGCTTGATATACTCAATCGATTAGAAAATGAACAAAATCGCATAAAAACAATAGTGTGACAAGAAAAACTTCTTTAATTTTATTAAATCTTTTTTTCATTCATCGATACTTTTATCCGCTTACACATAGAAGTTTAGAGTTTAAATAATTGTAAGAATTTCTGAATATTTTAATCCTTTTAACTGAAAATTTAATTTTTCACAAATTATCTATTATTGTTTCAAGATTTTTTCGATCAGTAAATATCAATTTACAGATGGAAACTAATTAAAAAACTATAAGTCAGATAATAATTCTCTTTTTCGAACACGTTCGAAAGATTAATTAAATGATTAAACTTTTGCTGGCTAAATCAGATACTGCAGTCTCGTTTCCTACTTGTTTTTTATCCTTGACATGATCAAGTAAAACTATCATTCTGTCTCATTAAACAAATGTCAATGAACCATTAAGGATCTCTTCTGTATTTGTAAATAATATTAGAATATTCTTATTTGATTTTAATATGCGCGTTTTGACACGCGCGTTCGTGAGAAATTATTCAAAATGTATGGTTCGGTTAAACACACAAACTGAATTTGCTGTAACTATATATGAAACATCGAGTGTATTTTTCTATTCTGTTTATACGCAAAATAAATCGGTGATTAAATATTCGTATACATATATTTCTGCAGAACGAACAATTTATCCATTATCTATTCTACATGTATATTTCGTTTGTTTGTCCTCATTCAGTTTAAGAATTAACACGTAGCGGTGACGACGGGTTGTGCAAATAGATATAGGCGCTAGATGAATGTTGTTGTTGTTGTTGTTGGTTATCATGTGATGCGATGATATCAGATTGAAATAAAGGTCGTTTAAAAAGAGGAATGTGATCAGTTTCTAATGATGATTGATATGTATTATTTAAATCATGTACTGGTGTGATTTGAATTGATGTTGATTTAGCTCGTTGCATTATTGGTGATGATGATGGTGAAAGTGGAGAGACTAATTTATGTATAGGTGAAGGTGATTTTGAAGAATTATTAAATGATGGATGAACATTTAAGTTGAAAGACTTTGATGGTGTTGAGGAGATTTTATCAAACAGAGAAGTACTCTCCTTTGTTGTTTTATTATCAAATTTTGTTGACGATGCAGTTGATTTTGATGAATGTAAATCATCTTCATCATCACATATATGATTGAATAAGTCGGATAATACAGGAAATATTCGATGACAACGATAACAAGTACGTAATCGATTAATATCATTGGATAAACCTCCTATATGAATAAAAAAAGGTATAAACTTTTTCTTTGGTGTAATATTCATGAATTATTCTACATCAATAAATACCAAAATAGCATGTAAAAAAACCACCAAAGCAATTAATGATATGATCAGTCACCAAACATTTCACTACTTCAAAGTGAAAATTAACGAAAGTGATTAGTCAAGCAAATGCATGATTTGATCTAATACTCCCACCTATGATTTTTTTTTCTATAAAAAGTGCAGCACACGACCACAAAGCATACACATAAATTATACTAAATAATCATAAAAACATGCTGAATCTATTTAATGATTATAAAAATGAGCAAGTGACGCTAAGTAAAAATAATAATGTAAGTGTGAAAAGGAAAAAAATATTGAAAAGAAAAAGGTTGCATGCAAATTATTTAACAGTACTAGGACGTTTTATTCTATTACCGAACGATGATTTTGGAGGAGATTGATTATCAGTATTAAGACTTGATGACATTGGATTATAATATCGCTTATTTTCTGTTGTTTGCCGTTTTATTCCAAATTCTTTACAAAGCTCTTCATGATTAAGATAATCACTTAAACGAATATTTTGATGACAATAATTACATTTTGTTGTATATACTTTTTCATGATCCGAACGATGACGACATACAGCTTCATGTTTTAAAAGATTGTCTATTGATGTTAGTGGATAATAACAATATTGACATGTTTCTAATTTTTTTTTATTAGTCGTATTATTATCCATAGTATGTCGATCAAAACGATGATTATTCGTTGTTGTTGTTGTTGTTGTTGGTTTTGTTTGTTGAAATATAAAATGTTCATCAATATTTTCTTCATCGCTATCTTTATGATTAAAACGTGATGATGATGTTGCTCGTTTAATATCATTTCTGTATTTTGATGTTGGTGTAACATGATTAACAGGAATTTTTGTACGATTTGTTGACGCTGCTCGTTGTTGATGTGATGCACTGCGTAAACGAGTTGATGGATGATACCAAAACAAATCATCATGTAAAAATTGATCAAATATCGATCGTGTTAACATTTCAAACATCATAAATGGATCAGTTTCAAGTGACCAATTATGATTCCATTTTGGTCGAGTTTTTCTTCGAAAACGATTTTGACTAGAGTGAAATGTTGATGGAATTGAATCAAAATGATCATAATCAGTTTCATCATCTGATGATGATGACATGCCGAAACTGGTATCAAAAAATGAAAAGGTTGGTGAAGGAAATTTACGAGCAAAATAAGCATGTCGTTGGTGAATATTAAAAAATGGATCATGAAAATGAAATCGAGATGAATTATTATTTGCTGATGTAAAATATGATTGATTTGATGAATGAAATGATGAATTATGTTTATGTTGTTGTGATGATGAAGAATTTGTATTTGTTGTTTGTTGTTCTAAATCATATGCTCGACGTTTATCTGCATCACTTAATGTTTCATAGGCTTTATTAATTTGTTTAAATATTTCTTCAGCTGTTTTAGAAGAATTTTTATCTGGATGATATTGAAGAGCTTTTTTTCTATAAGCTTTTTTTATTTCATCTTCAGTAGCTGTTGATTTAATGTCTAATATGGCATAACAATCATTAGCTACCATTGTTTAAGTGCCTATTATTTCTTTACCAAGATAGATAATCACATTTATATATCTGAATAAAACAAAACAGATGATTTAGTTTTCATTGATAGAATAACACTCATTGATCATAAAGAAATATACTGCAAAGGTAAATACTTACCCGAAGTTTTTATGCATCGGAGAAGGCTCTTTGATTAATACACAAGGTAGAAAAAAAGATGAAACCGAATATGAATAAGAACGAAAGAAAGAAAAAGAATGTATGAAGAAACAAAATAGAAGACATAGACATGCATCTAAATGCATCGTATACTTATAAATCACTATAGTACTCGTCTGATTCTCACGATACGAAAATCAAGGCTCGTAAATAGTCAACAAATAACAACATGATTATCAAGAGCATGTTTATGTGTACGAGCTCAACGACACCAATGATGATGATACTTTATACTATTCTAAGATAAAAGAAAACAATACTAATGATAGTTTTAACAAGACAGACGTTATTAGAATAGAATACATAACACAAAACGATAGAACAGAAAAGAATATTACTGCTATAAAACTACAACCTACTGTGATAGTTAATGGGTAAGAAGGAAAGCGACGAATAACCAAAAGTACACGGAGAAAGAAAGAAGTTTATATAATGAAATAGTCATGTATTATGATTAAATCAATCAAAGAGTGCGAGGTACAGTTGATAATCTAACTTTTTCTTTTATTATAATACGTATGTTTCTGTTATCTTATAGTGAACTCCTACTTTTTCATCGATCCAGTTTTCTAGGTCAATCAAGTTATGTCCGTCCTCGGTTAATATAAACGACGTCTTGGTGACATTCCGTTCTTTTTTTCTATCCATTATCGGTATAACTGCTGATGTAATATAGGCAAATAAATGAGAAGCAATATATCAAAAAAAAGGCAGAACACATATGTATATACATATTTTGTTCTCTTCTTCCTTTTTTTTTTGCTCTGTCTTTCTCTCTCTGCAAATGATTATTACATAATCGTTATATAAATTTTGTCGCACACATGTACATACAGATTGAAATGTGACACAAGAGCTACAAGATTGAGGTTGACAATTTTCAAGACAATGACCGAAAAAAAAAAGTGAGAAGAATATTATTTGAACTACTCGGAAATTGAATTATATCAATGATGAAGTTGAGCGATCAACTTACTCATTGGCCAACAAATGAAAAAAGATTCTTTTACTTGCTATTAACCGCATTTCAGCCTAGCATTTGCGGTGTTATTCTCTTCTTCCGTTCTTCATATGTTGTTTCGGCTAAGGTCGAACAAGTGAATGAAAGAAAGAATGAATGAATGAGAAAAAAACAAGGCTTTCTCTCTCTCTCTCTCTCTCTCTCTCTCTCTCTTCGAACACCACAATGTAATAATAAAAAAACGAGAAAAGAAAAAAGTCCGGTAGACAACTTGAACAGACGATGCAGCTGTTGTTGTTTTATTAGTATGAATCAATAGATTTTTCTGTTACTTTTTCTTTCTGATGCACATAACCGCAAAATAGTGTACAAAGAAGAAAAATATAAGTTTCTCATAACAATTGATGAGATTATTTTTTTTTTTACTTTTCTACATCCATTAGTTTTTATAAAGAAAAAAAAAAAGAAGAAAAGGTCGGCTTTTTTTCTTATTTGCAATTTGGTTAACCCTGTACCTATTATAGGCTGTCCAGGGACATAGCGCTCATTAAAAATAACTTTATAAAGAAAGCAATTAAAGTAAATCACAAATATAAAACAATAAGAAAAGACAACATGAGTCATAAACAAAGGTTTTCAAGAATTAAATTATTTTGATATATATGAGCAGAACACATTGACCATCGACAGAAGAATAGTTTGAAACATACACTTATGCTAATCTTTTACTCCTTGTTCTCCTGAAAAGATCTATTTTTACATGATTTATAACTGTTTTTCAGAAGACGTATAAACGATAGATATGATCTGATCAATGAACCAAGATAAAATGTGTGCTAATTTTTATCGTTAATGAACCATTTTTTTTTAATTTTGTTCATGAAAAACAAGACCGACTTGTGGGTCTTATAATTTTATATCGATTAATAACATTAATATTAAATTCAATTCATTAAGAAATAAAAAAATACATAGATATATTGTTCATAGGTTCCGATAGTTACTATATATAATCAAGTTAAGTGACAATATGGAAAATGATAGATGAAATTTGTTTTCCATCTCCGATACAGTATGACTATCATAGTGACTGATTAAATGATTAAACCACGCATCATGTACTCATCTTAGGAATGAATGCACTTTGACATACATAACAATTTCATGTGATAAGTTTTTAACAGAAAATTCTTTTGCCTTGTCTCTTTATGAATCGAAAGCTCTTTTTTCTTTGAAACTTAGCTACTTATGTCAAAAGAATATAAAATATGTGGTGTCACTTATGATGGAATAGTGGAGTTTTTTTCAGAAAAGGCTGAATCGCATGAAAAAGAGGCAGACATTTAAAAAAAATAAAAAAAAAACAAAGAAGAATTTCTCTTGAAAACTTGTTCAATGAAAGTATTATCTATGTCATGGCGAATTTATTATTAAATGATGATACTAATTATAGATGAAAATTATTCATCAATGTTGAATTTCGTAGGTATTATTATATTTGAATTAGAATTGAATTTTCTGTTGAGACTAGAAAAGACATGAGATATAAGATCGTGTTTCGATCCATTATCAATTTTTCAATCAATATGTTCTAATCATATATGAACGAAGGTTTTCAATTTTGTGATTATTGCAATGTTAAATTTGAGGTACTCTTTAAGATGAAATTATGGATCAAATAATAGTGTCAAACACAATTGAATAATGATGATGATCAAAAATGAATTTTTCTGTTTTATTCATTTCATGGGTTTATCGTTTTCAAAAATTCTTGAAATTATTTATATTATCATGTCGCTAGGCACTTCGAATTGAAGATACTTTTACCATAGAGATTTTAGTACAAAAATTCATCAACATGACTGTCTGTGTAACTTTCTTAGATGATGATTCCTATATGAATCTATGTACACAACTTCTTACTGTACCATATTCGCGACTACATCTGAATAGATTTTCAGTTTAGAAAAATATTGGCAAAATGACAAAGATGAAAGAAATATATCGAATTCTGCACGTCAGCACTTAAAGAGTTAAAAGAATTTTTTTTTCTAATGTTCGATTTCATCAATCACTTGATAAAATGGAAAAATTCAATTAACTACATCAGTTATTTTTTTTTGTCACTTCAGTCTCTTCTTTACAAAATAAAAAAAAAATAAGCTCAATTTTAATTGCTGATACTTAAAAAAGAATAAATATATTCAAAACAACTTCATCTTGAAATCGAGATATTCTAATCTAAATTTACTTTTTTGAATAAAAGTTGATTTAATATTCATTTTTTTGAATGTGCATTAGCCTTTAAAATGAATAAATCTAATGGACTTGATCAATCAAACAAATTGAACATCATCAGCATAGATTTTCTTTCTATATGTTCTTGTTTGTTTTTCTTCTTTTGTTTACAATAAAATAAGCATTGTTAAAGTAACTAGCTGTTTTATTAATGAAAGAGAGTTCATGAACGCGTATGTGTTTTGAATGACATCCAGTAGAATTTAAAGATTATTCTATGATCAGTTGGATCCATGAATACTATCTTCAGCAATCAATTTGATACACGATATTCTTCCAATAATTACATTTTACATTTACTTCGAGCTTATATACAGTCGGTGCCAAGAGGATGATTCACGGTCAGTTCAAAGAGCTCATTGATTTGAAATTTTCATGTTGACTTCAATCTAGTCTGTCTTGATTCAATTCAGCCAGTTGGACTTGATGTTTTAAAATTTTGTTTTGGTGTTGTTATGGTAAGGTTATAGTCATCCCCTTCAATCATATCTATGCTCAATACATTCATATCTATTACTTGAACGTTTTTCCCAATATGGTATATTATATGGTTAAAAAAATATACTGTGTTTCATCTTTTTCAAATGAAAAATAATTACATATGTCAGTTCTTTCTAACTCTTTTGTGTATACTGTGTTATGATATGACATCTGTATCCTTGCAAATCTGAATCTTTTCCATTTCTATCGTTCTGCTTCTCTTTATTCTTTTTGTGTCCTTCTGTTTATGATATATATATATATATATATATATATATATGATGTTATACAAGTCTACGCGATTCTTTTAATTCAAAGAAAATAAAAACGTTTATGTTCTTCATACGAACCTATTTTTAATCCTTAAAATAACGATACGAGAAGTAGAATATAGCATTATGCATTGTTTCTTTAACTGTTGGAATTTTTCTCCACATGAAGCATTCTCACACTTGTACTGGAATTTTTTTCTCTTATTACCTACCGTGAGACCTATATATACACGACTGTGTCAAGAAGAAGCCAATTCATATACAACCTATCAACTTACTCTATCAACAGCATCGATTATTTCAAAAGAAATAATCAACATAGTTTTCCGCTAGTATTAGTGATGATCTTGTTGAACGAATGATATTCTTACGTTCTTGATACTGCACCTCCAATGAAATCAATTGCAAAGTCAGTAAAGAAAAGACAACGTAAAAAACCTGCCACTAATACAAATAATTATGGACAAGGAGAAACTTCGCTTAATTAAAAGTGTATACTTTTTAATATTTCTTGTGTTGAAGGTAATCATCTTCAAAAAATTGATTCAGAAGTAATACAAGATACCAATAGTAACGGCAACTAGCTATAATGAAACGAAATAACATGATAAGAAGCAAGTACAATTTAAAAACAACTGAGTAAAGAATAGCTCGTACATGGTGCTGAATCGTCAATTTCACTCGAACGGGCAGCACAATCGATACCAAATAGTATTTCATTAATTTCAATGTTCAATTGTTCATCTTTATCATCATTAACTGACTTACCAGTTACTACTGGTTCAATATTAGTGGTCAACACGACTGTTCCCACAAGAGTTGAATCATGTTCAGTAACAATTGCTTGTATTTCAGAGTTTACGCTCGAGCCGCCAATAGTTCTGCGTTGGTCAGAGTTTGTTCTATCAACTGGAATAATGAATACCGGTGGTGAGGCGAAATATAATTCTTTTTTGGAAAAGAGAAAATTTTGTGATTCATCAAGTGGGTCTCAAAATGCAAAACTTTTTATCGATGGACACATAATGAACAACCAAACATTTGATACACACATGTAACACATTATCTAGAGGTTCCAGTTATGAGAGTCATGAACAGCTTGTCGCTTACTTTCTCGATTGGCACATGAATTAAGCAGTTCAGTACGCTTTGACTGATTTTAAAAGAACTTCGTTACATATGAAATGTTGAATTTTATTGTACATTCGAAATCTCATGTACTCGTCATATACGTAATTTTTTCTAATATATCATGCCTTTTTTTCCTGAAAGAAAAAATAAATTGACTTTTTTTTATTTATATCCTCTAGTCAATTGAGATGTCACATTAAGAAATTGCGTAACAATTAACTTCGAACTATCGATTCTCTTTAATAGATTTCAAGTGTCAAGATATAGTGTTGTTTATTGATTTTGATTTTGAAAATAAATATCTTTTAACACGCCTAAGTTTTAATAAATTATCAAACTATTATACTTGATTCGTATATTTGATTATTTCACATAAAACTATCATTAATCTTTCAGTGACATCAACATTTGTGATTTTTCAATATGTTAAATTATTCATCATTGCTGAAAAACTACGTCATGCGATCGGAACATGTGAATCGACATTGAGAAAAGTGCACATCACTTAAAATTGCAACGAATATACTTTAAAATAAACTTACATGTTCATTTTATTCCATGTATAAAAAATCGATAAGTTTTTTCTTCAATAAATCTATAAATATGAGTACAATATATATTACCTAACATTTAATCATTAATCTCTCACCTGTAGATTTTATTGTCGTTGATCAACAGTTATTCTCTAGTGAAATAATACTTCAACTGATTGTCTATCTTTTATGTCATCTTTCAAGCAATGAATAAAACAATTGTGACGTTGCATAATACACATGTGGCTATTTGGCACATGAAGTCAATTATTATTAATATCATGCACACCATCAAATGTACTTAGTATGTAGCAGCTTTTCATACACAGTCATCTCGAAATAACGTTTACTGTTAGTCAGAGGACTACTTTTTATGCGTGTTTGACCTTAAAGATAGCAAAATAATGCCTTTACTCCATCATGCTACTGATATCACAAATTCATTACCTGCTTTTATTCAAATATGCCTGAATGTAGTTATACAATGACATCACGTGGAAAGTGTGAATTATGTCGAACACCAATTGATATTAAATATCGTAAACAAGCATCAGTACTATTTAATCATTATGTAAAATATCGCTTTATTCATGGTTATGAATCTATATTAAATTGTCCAGTAACGATTAGTACAAAAAATTTATTTATGTTGCAACATGTTTATGCGGTCAATTCAATTATTTTAGTAGAACTATATAAACATTGACTATACATGTAGATAGTCATCGTAAAATTGTTAACAATCCTATACGTAATTTTTTATCAGTAAAAAAATTTGAAGCGTCTTTAAATAAATAAAAGAGGACATGAGTGTTGAATGTGAGTGCTACTCTCAGGAAGGTCGATACTGATACATACAATCATAATTGCGCAACATCTACGCATTTCGTCAAGAGATAAGGTCGATCTATTTTTCAATTGATTTACATATACTCTGGATATTGATATTTGAGACTTATATCACTCTTATGTGGACATCTATCGTGGTCTTCATTAGCTTTTTCGAAACTTTTTGTTTGGCTCTCTGCGCATAGATATAGATATCACGTTTGTGATTCAGTTTTGTTTGAACCATTTGAACAAAGACGATAGAGTCAAAGTCAACTGATAATCATTCTTCATAGGTGAACGTGAAATCTGAAAATCTTGGCATCCGAGACTCATGTTCACACCCACAATCACGCAATTGTGAAGGGGTTGTGAATCGAGAATCCTTGATGATTAACTTGAAGCTAAATTAGTAGTTTCAAACGGAAGAAGTTCTTGCAAGTAATGTGAGGTGTTGAATGGGTATGGATGTGAGTGTGAGTATTTGTCAAAAGATATTAACAACCACACTCTATTCACTTGTCTAGCAATACGCTTATAAATAATAAAGTGATTTAATTATCATTTTCCCTGTTAAGGTTCAAACAAACACAGCAACATATCGTTTTCCACTGCAAGAAACGTCATCATATGATTAAGATTCATTATGACATGCTATCCGTTGCACAGCGCAACAACTGCTTATCACACAGGCTTATTATGGCTTTTCCTATGCGCAGCTCAAAATAACAGAAACTGACATTATATTTCATCGTGTAAAGACTTCAAACGCACCTGTAGCTATCGTCTTATCCACTCAAGTTTTCCACGAGTGGGATTCTAGTTTGGGATAATCCTCAAGTTTGATCTGTTCTTCTGTTTTAAAAACTCATTAATACGAAGGACAGTTATAATATCCCCATTCAATCGATTATTTGAAATAATTTCATTTTTCGAAAAGAAACTCTAATCATTTGACTGACGTGAAAAAAATCTGCAATATATTATTTGAATTCCGTCTCTAACTGCTTTCGTCCTTAAAATAGAAACGAACAAATTTTTTTTTGTTAGGTGGTCGGACAATTTTGACAGCTGGATAATCCTAACAGCTATTGTAGCTGGATTGGATAGCTCGATTGGATTAGAGGATTTATCCAGCTCGATTATCAACTAACTAATCCAGTGAGATCCAATCCAGTGATTTAATGATAACTATTTGATATGTATCAATGAAGCTTCGCGTGTTATGTTGTGACGTATTCATGTTTTTAATTTTGTTCATCTTTATAGTTTACATTCAAAAAAATAAACAAAAATAATGGTTGATTTGATTCCATATTATTCATGTGTATTTATGATATTTTCGCATGCATCCGTCTGTGGTGTAAAAGGATTACAGGATGTATTGCCGTTGTAAACTTTTATTTACAAATACAAATATCTTTTCAAATCGAACCATAAGTTTTTGTCTTTTCTTAGAAGCAAACTATATGATTAAGTTAGATAGAACTTAATGATCACAATGAAAAGAAATACCTTTTCTTTTTAATTGTCAGCTCAAACGTTTAATTTTCATCGCAAATGTTCGTGAAAGCAGCTTCAAAAATATCTCGATAGTTCGTAATTCAACAAATAGATCAACAGTTTTTTTTAATTTCTAGTTGAAATATTTAGTTTTCATCTCAGCTATTCGTTTCTTTATTTTTTTCTTTAAGTATTCTATAAGCAGAAAATAAAAATTAAAGAATTGCTGTCACGAGTAAGGTCAGAGTCTTTTAACATACATAAACTCATTTACATCTATACAAAAATCGACAATTCCTGAATCTCGACATATTATAAAATACAATGATGCTGGCGAAAGATTTCATTATGACATGTCAATGAAAAATTTATTAGTTTACTGAATAATTGATAGTCAACTTTTTCTAAACTTTGCATGTAAACAGAAAGCACCATATACATATTGTTTACGGCTGTAAATCTAACGACAGTATGCGATATATATATGTATACAGAGAGACAGTGTTTCAACATAAACTACTACATACAATTTATTTACAATTTCTTTTGACTTTCTTTGCAAGTTGCTTTTTCGAACAAGTATTAACATCTTACAAACGTCACACTTTTTTTAAATGAAAAACGAGGCTAGGCTGAAGCATGTATAATGGTGATCATTATGGTTGTAATTACACCAAAAGTAATACTTATAACTAATTCTTCTTCTTCAATATTTCATCATTTTCTTTGTCCATCTATAAAATCTTGCACATTTTGAAGTATCATTTTGAAGAAATTCATAACGATCACTCGACGATACATGATGCCCAAAGATTAAGCTTAATGGATCTTCGACATTCTGACGCATGAGTACTGTCATATACGAGAATTTGAAGACTATAGTAATAGGCATACCATACAACTAATACTAATAATTCTTTTAGAATAAAGTATCAGATCAGTATGAAAAATAATAGCTGCTACAAAACATAGTATAAAAATACAGTTTGAAAAGTGGACAGTTCGATGCCTTATATATATATCATGCCAATGATAATCGATAAGTAAAAAAGTAGTAGAGATTTAGTCCAGAAAAAATAATCATTGATGTGAATTGGGAAAGAACAAGGCAGATCTGAAAGATTAGAACAACTGTCAGCTAGAGCTATTTTAAGAACGATTAAACGAGCATTTGTTACAGAATAATGAGCATATGTAATACGACAATCGTCGATATAAGATACATTAAACATGAAACCAATAAGCCATAAGAAGAAGAAGAAGATAGATTGAAATATATTAATGACGAGGAAGACTGTATAATGTACATCCATTTGTTCTAAATAGAATATAATGAAAATAAAATTCCTTTTATCATGAATGGTTCGATTTAGTGTGTTGGTCCGTATTAAGTGAACTATAATCCACATCCACACATAAACTTATCAAATAGCTCATATTTGAATCAAATTTTCTTTCCTTAACTTAACAGAGTAATTGTGTTTAAAATTAATAACGTTTATATTTTACTATTAAAAGCTGCACTACAATTTTCTAAGAATATAAAGTAGCACGATACAAGGTATTTCATAGATTATATTGAATAATAAAAAAAAAGGACAAAGCATTGCAAAAACGTTTAAAAGTGTCGGAGAAATTCAGATATCGATGATAGCGTATTGTTCCAGAATTATATGAATTTTTTTAGTTTTATGTAGAAAATAGTGAATATAATATTTTTGAAAATTTTTAGCTCAATCTGATCACTTTTTTTTCTAGATAAACAGTAGAAATGCTAAAGTTTTTCATCGATGTAATGGAATCTTAACTTTTTGTTCTTTTAATTGTAATTATATGTAAGTTGCAGACAATACAAAAATATAAAATCACTAAAATAGACTTCATAAAGTTCTCATGTTAGCAGAGAAAGAATACTATGTTCAAAAGAAACGTAATTTTCGTGGAAACTACCATATTTGAGATGTTGATCATTTTGGAAGTTTTTCTTTTTTTGCTTATAAAAGATAAGTCGAATATTCAGAATCGGCATGCAACAACACACATCTTTTATCTTCAAAGATGTTACATCGAAATATAAGGTGTAGGAGACTACGTAATAAGTTTTTACGGATAAGTTATTTAGAGAGAATTTTCATAACAAGTATTTTAAGATGAAATATTTTTTTGTACATTTCTGTATACTTATTTTGAATATATGGCTTACTTGTTTTCAAAAAAAGAACTTCCAATGATAGAAATCTCAAAATTTCCCATTATTTTAATAGATTTTCTATGGAAAATGACCCCTTCTTTGTACACAATTTTCTTTTTCCTTATAACGCGAAAACTGTCCAAAGTCTAATTTAATAATTTTATATTAGCATACCACTCACAACACAAAAATAGTGAAAGAAGAAAATATTAACGAGTAGATCAAGCATATTCTATGATAAACATATCAGCACCTTCAAAAATATATTATGGATATAGGAAAAAGACCTTTGTTTGATTAAAATTGATCTATTTTTCGTATGGGATAAAATTGCGAAATACATTTGACGACAAGACTTTATGAGCTCTATCACTGGGTAGAAGTATAAAAGCTACTGATTGTTGTCGCATGAACTGCGCTAGATTGACATTATGGAAAAAAGATTTCACAGACTTTTTAATAGACTTTGTAACGTCTCTGTAGAACTGACATGAAATTTTGAATGTTTCTATTCAGATGTAAGAGATTCAAATAGATATATTTAGAATAACAAGAAATCAAAAGTCTCTCAAATTGAAAAAGCAAATTCATTTATATTATAGAGAATCAGCTGAAAATCGAATATAAAAACCAGAAAAAAATTATTAGATCGAGCTGAAAATTTCAGACAATATTAAACTTATTACACTATAGCATATTAAAAAATCAGCAAATTCTGGAATGATCTTCCATCATCAATGCCTCATAGTAACTGATTCTCTTAGATACTCACCCGTAAAATCTTTCCCAATAATTATCACTAAAGTGTTCACAAGACACTTGTTTTAATAATTGATTACATTGTAATATAGATGACTTTATTATATTCCAACTTCTATTCTTAGAAATTTCGATAGAAGCTAATATAGCGAATTTGAAATGAAAGACATGAATTGTTGAAAACATGTGAGCGTATTAATCTTCTCTGCAAAACATTCGGTTTAAATAAAATCTATTTCATAAATTTTCATAACTCATGACTAACTGTTCTTCAGAGAGGTTAGATAAAGAATATGGCTTTCCTTGAACTATAATGACAGTTTGAGAAAACGAATTTTTCGAATTATTATATAAATAAGCATGAATTATAAAACATGTAATGATTAAAGTGAAATGTTTCTTGTTTACATGGTTTATGACAAGAG